TTTAATAAAATTAGTATTAAATACAGTACTCGTTGGCGAAGGAAGAGAGACGTAATATGAGTTTACTATACAATAAGATGACAACCGAAGAGTTGGATCAAATCGCTCCCAATGTTTGTATTACTTTTTATTTAATTTAGATCTGGAAACTATTTTGGGCTTCCCTTTACTAATTGACAATCAATTCTGGTTTGAATAACAATTAATTGAACGCTCATTTTATTCAACAGACAGATTGGATGTCATTAATCAATAACTTCACGACTAAACCAATTGCCAAACACGAAGAGGTTGTAGTGATTGACACAAAATTCATTAAATCTCTTGATTTAATTTTGCCGCAAACAAAGAAACGGTTAGTATTTTTGGATAATACATGAATATTATTTATATACAGGTATAATAATTGTTGTCTATATTGTTGTCTATATATTTGGTCAGAACTTTAGCCAATTATATGATGTGGAGAATCGTGTTCTCAAAGATCAGCGCATTGGGTGGCAAATGGAGAAATCTGGAGACGGAATACGAGGCAAAAGTGATGGGCAAACAACGCCAGGAGCCCCGTTGGGAACAGTGTGTCTCTATTGTACAATCCGTGGTCGGCATCGGTCTCTCAAACCTCTATATCAATCGATACTTTAACAACGATAACAAACAAATGGTTTAATAATAATATTAATTAATAATTATTGTTATTTTTTCTATTAATATATTTATAAAACTAGACTTTGGATATCGTAAAGAATATTAAGACAGAATTTGAGGGTATTTTGCATGAAATTGATTGGATGGAGAAAAACACTTTAACACATGCTTTGGATAAATTACAAAACATGGAACTGAAGGTCGGATTCCCATCGGAATTGACGGACGAAAAGAAGATTAACAATTACTACATCGATGTATTAAATTGATTTCATATATAATTTTTATATCTAACTGTTATTATGATTATAGCTTCACATTAATCGTGACGACTATTTTCAAAATCGTATTAAAGCGTACAAATGGTTATCGGATTATCAGTTCAGTCAACTCCGAGAGATTAATAACAAAAATGAGTGAGAGATTAAAGCAATTAATTTAATTGTGATGTTTCTCTAACGCAACCATTTAATTATCATTTGAAAAGTTGGCGCAAATACGCCGAAGTGACTGAAGTGAACGCCTATTACTTCCCACAGGAGAACGCAATGGTTATTCCCGCCGGTATTCTTCAGGGCATCTTCTATAACAAGAATAGACCCAAGTATTGATACAATTGTTTTACTTTTAAGCGTTTCTTATTGAATGGCCANTGATGTGAGCCGTGAAACCCGACGTCTCCCCAACCTATATGTAGAATAAGGTTTGTTATAAATTTATTTTATTAAATATTTAACAAAATTATAAATAATTATAAATATGAGAACCAAAATCATCTGCAATTATAAGCACAACATTAGGTCTCTTCACGGCATCGATACGGAGATCAATGAAATTAACATAAATAAACACAATTAAACAAATGCTTTTAATCTTCATTATTATACAATTCATAACTGTTATATTATGTTCAAGCAATATATGGATTGATACATGATCATGTTAACTTCATGGTAAATATAATATAATTAATATTGTTAGTAATATTCAAAAGAAATGATAAATTATATAAATATCAATGTTTACAACTAATCACTTACTTAACGAATATTTTGCTTTAATAGCAATAAGTGTTTGTGATTTTATATGAATTATCTCAACAGCTTTTATCACGTTTACATTACCACCAGTTGAATGTGTTTCGCAAAGTGTTATAAGTATATTGAATGTTATGAAATTGTTGTCAATAACAATTATGGTAAATTTATTGTACAAAAAATTAAAACTAACAAAAATACTAGTCAAAAGTGCAGATCATTATAGATATTATTACTTAATTATGATACTTCGATAATAGTTAAAGTGATTTGCGATAATCCCTGAAAAATGATGCAATTTTATCATGTGCAATTCATTTAGATTCTAAATACTTGGGTCTAGTTGGTTAAAATTTCAATTTGTAATTAGTTTATATTTACAAAACTTTATGATTTTATTTTTAGAATAAATATTTAATTAAATAAATGAATGCAAAATTAAATTTATTTATAAAATCACATGATATACTCTATTGAATTTACTGCAGATGTGATTAAAATTAGATATTTAAATTAAGTATTCAAATTTACTATATTCATTAAAATGACAATTCAGTTACAATAGATTGTAATTATGTACATTTCAAAACTGTTTGCATTATTAACGTAGTTTAATGACTTAATTAAAAAAGTTTATTAAGATATTTACATCAAATAATAATTAATTATTTAATATATTTATTTATATTTATATAATAGTATAATTAGAAAATACAACAAATGTGTGAACAAATTTCTAAATTCACAATTACTTTCATTATTTTATTGCTTTTCATAAAATAGGGTTCAAATAACAAAACAGACATAAATATTACAAAATAAATAAATAATTAAAAATCATTATAAAAATAATAATAATTTATAACTAAAAAATTAGTTGTCATTTAAGAAGAAAAAGTAGTTGTAATGAATTGTCTTTCTATACAAAGAATGAAATGTAAAGACAATAATTTCTACCAAACGGTGCACTTATTGATTGGATTCATGGCTGAACCGATCGGACAGTTGAATGAATTGGAGAATTGCGGTGAATTAGAGAGCACTCCTATTATCCTATAAATTAAATTAATTTATTAAAAACATTATGTTTACTACTATTGATTGCATAGATTATAAGACATATACGACAAAATACACTAATGTAATAACTAAAATATTATTACTATTGTTATTGTCGCTATTATTACGGTAGTGTTATTTATTATTAACAGTAAATGTTAGATTAAAAGTAATAACGAAAACAATTATAATTATAATAATAGTTAATTAACGTGTGGCCCGAATCGCAAACTTATAATTTGGCAAACATTATGCAAACATATTTTTTGTCAAATTTATTTAAATATCAAATATTCAGTATATGAGTGTTTAGGCAAAAAAGAAGTGTTTATTTTGTTGAATAATTTGCATAATTAGAAGATTACGTTAACTCATAAATAGATGATAATAAATGGTGTCATTAATTATCAATAATGCAATTATTAAGTCAATGGCGCGAAACTGATGCCAGAAATTGAATTAATTATAGCAATGAAGCGTTAATTGCTTAACAAAACAAAACAACTGCTGATAATAGGGAACAATACCTGTATTTACTGGGACTGTGAGAATCGGTTTCAATCATTAGCTTCAAGTACTCCGCACTCTCTTTACTGCACGACTGTATGCCATAACTGATCCAAAAGAGCTGTTCGGCCGTATATTTAAGGCCCGGCAGTAGGTCTTCGGCGCCGTTGTTCCGCACGTATGTCTGATAGGCCCGAAAGGCCTGTTTGATGCCCCCATTGTCCGCCACATTCTCTCCCTGAGTATTAATTCCGTTCAAATTCATGCCAATCGTGTCGACCGTATAGTTGCTGTACTGATCGATAATGCACTGCGATTTCAACTTAAATTTCTCGTCGGTCACGTCATCCCACCAGTTGTTTACCTGTCCTTTCAGGTCAAACTGTCTGCCCGTGTCCTTCAGTCACAACAACCGCACATATCATTCATTACATAATAATAAATATATAAAATTTGATTAAAATTTTACATCAAATCCATGGGTGAGCTCATGACCGGCCACTTCACCAATGGTTCCGTAGTTTAAGTAACTGTAAAATATTTGGCCATTCAATAAGAAACGCTTAAAAGTAAAACAATTGTATCAATACTTGGGTCTATTCTTGTTATAGAAGATGCCCTGAAGAATACCGGCGGGAATAACCATTGCGTTCTCCTGTGGGAAGTAATAGGCGTTCACTTCAGTCACTTCGGCGTATTTGCGCCAACT